AAAGAAACTGCCCTACGTTTCTGGAAAGGCCTTATCATCTTCATTTACTATCTTTTGCAATAACCCATCATTTTCCTCTCATCAAATAAGTATTATTTATGTCAAACAGAAGTACACAGCAGAGGCAGAATACTCAAGAAAACACATTCTTTAAGAAATCTTGGGGTCAAAGGTTTACATCTTTAATCCCAGTTTTCAATCTATTCAGTGACTTTGCTGATATTGTGCTCTTTAGAGTCATTGGTTAAAGTTCGAATTTCAGAACTGGAAAGCCCCTGTAACTCGGGGTGAATTCACACAAACCGCACATTCCAGGATTAAACTCTGATGAGGACCAAAACAGCAAACTCTGCTCCAGCTAAGAACCTGAGTCTCTGTTCGGTTGAAATGGAAGGTTTCAGCTCTCATGAGACCCATGAGAGTTGGTAGCATATTGGCACACCTTGAAAGGTGTAGCGGAGTCATTGTTTTGATCGGTAAAAGCCATTGAAGTTAACCCATGTGATTATCGTGTCAGGTGGTCATGAAAGCTGTTTACCAGGAAAGGAAGTCCAGTTGAGTCTTACATGAAGCACTTACATGATTTTGTCTTTCTACCCTGAGGTTATTGACGGTGTTCTGAATTTGAACATTTATCAGGTGGAGCAAAATGCGGCCCAGAGACCGAAACAGTTTTTTTCTTACTCTGATGTTGGAACCCTAGCTCTATGTGTGTGTGTGTACTTGTTTATAAAGAAGCTATTTCAGTTTGATGAGTCGTGACAGGAGCATAAAGACATTCTCCGTAGTGTCCTTGGCGCTAAAGTACAGTTCTAAACAGCCTCTCTCTGTAACTATGCACACTTCGCTCACGACAGAAACCTTTTTCCCTCTGCATGTTGCGTTGCCTTCAACTTTGCTTCCTATATTCCTCCACACGCCACATGCCTCTGTCATATTCTCAGAGTCTGTACACTTGAAAAGTTTTTGATGAAACAACCCTTTTTATATTTTAAGAGGCATGGTTATTTCTTTCATCCATGCATTGGAAGTGATTTCTCAAGGTAATCTGGCAGCTACAACTCAACATTATCATGCATTGCTTTATATCTTGTTTCTAATCTTTTAATAGCTTTGCAAATTTTTCCATTTGACCAAATGGCACGCATTACTTATCACAAATAGAACTACTTCCACACAGCAAAGGTAGCATATTGACGGAAAATACATGTTCTCATTCTAGTAATCCTTTACATTGACCATGTGGTACTGAACAGTCATAGTAGCTGTGTCTCAATTACAAACTTTCTCTAAATTCGGCTAGTGTAAAAAAAAACCCCAGGACGTAGGGGACACAATTTTGCCATTGCAGTGTTTCCACTAAATCAGGAATGCAATTAAAATCAAACGTGAATAAGGGTGCGTTCACACTGCAGCCTGAACTGACCCAATTCCGATTTTTTGCTACCTGTATCCGATCTTTTCATGGCAGTGTGAACAGCACAGGTCAGATTCTTTTCGAATGTGACCCATATCCGATACGTATCCGATTCAAATGCGACCTAACGTTCAGGCCGCATTCATCCGAACTGAACGTCATAGACTCTCAACAAAACTCACTATACTGTGTCCTGATACACGCAAGCAGGAAGAAAAACAACAACCATGATGTCTATATGAGGATTAAGTTGTTAATATGTTACTCCGGCCGGACAACAACTGAGCACTTCTTCTTTTTATGGCTGTTGGCAGAACACTGAGAACGCTGATGCTATTACGCCCTCTAGTGCGCATGCGGGACACTTTCAGGTCGTTTGCCAGTTCACACTGCAGAATGCATACAGGTCGCATTTACTGGCAGTGTGAACAGCCCCGGCAAAAAAAATCGGAATTGCCAAAAAATCGGAATTGGGTCATTTCAGGCTGCAGTGTGAACGCACCCTAGTACTTTAATCTTCCTCTTACTTGTGTTTCCACCAAGTCGTTAGGACTGTTCTTGAAGTATTAGTTGTCTCAAATATCAATTGGCTACGGTACCCGACCTCGGAGATTGATCACTCCGGGGGGCCGCTACCTGGTGAGGGCGTCTGGTGAAAACCACGGCCGAAACGCCCGTTTGAACCGGTAGTCACCACTGACGATTGGGTCCCGAAATTGTTTATTCCTTTAGTTACGACTTGGAGTCGAAAAAATAAATTTTTCGTTTCCAACAACGCTACCAAACTAGAAGAAGTAAAAGAGGACATATCTAAAAATAAATCTCTAAACCCATTAATTAAACAGCAGCGCGGAACGAACACAAAAAAAAGGGAGCATTCCCACCTAATTTACTGAATCTTTCAACCTTAACAACAACCAATATCTTTTTTTAAAAAAATAAGCCTCAAATCAATTCGCCCTTCACTTCCAAAACGGGCTCCCCACCGATTTTAATGCCTAATCTAAATATTTTTCTAATACCACATCTTTATAATTTTACCCAAATTTTTAAATCAGTTGTTATTAATAAACAGTGAGGTTTTCCTACTTAAAATTTTCTCTGTTAATAATCTAATATATTTAATATCACAAACACCAAAAACATTATTGTAAATAAAGAACCAGTCGCATTTATTTTATTTTATTTATTTATTTTTTTCTTACCTTTTCGACCCTTCCTTTTTTCCTGGCTCCCTACTTTCTCTCATCTAAACTTAACCACCCCTCCATCTTAACCCTTTGTACCCCTCCCTCTCTCTGCTGAATCCTTAATCTCTCCACCTAAAACCTAACCTCCTTCTTTCCTTAATCCAACCTTTAGATAGTTCCCTCTTTCTCCCGAAGGAAACCCTTATTTCCTTTACCACATTCCTATCTTTGCCTTAACCTTTTGCCCCCTCCCTCCCTTCCCTTCTTTGACTCCTAAAACCCTTCTGTTGGGCCTAATTTTCCTGTATCCTCAACCTAATCTCTCAACTCTTAGATTCTTACTTCTTTTATCTAAACTTAACCACTCTTCTTATCCCAACCCTAACCTTTGACCTTTCCCTCTTCTCTGCTGACCCCTTGGATCCTTCCTCTTATACCTAACCTTTTTCTATCCTTAACCTAACCTCTTATTAGTAATTTTTCTAAGCCTTACCACCTTTTATCTAAACCTAACCACTCTTCTCTATTAAATCTTAACCTCTTGACCTCTCTCCTTCTACTATACTTCTCAAATCTTTTCTAAAATCTAACCTGGCCGGAATTCTAATCTAAACCTAACCCTTTCAGCTACTCTTGTCTCATCTTACTTATAATGAACACCAACATAACAAATCCTCACTAGCTTAATCTGAGTTCACTCGGAGAGAGCAACTTGCACCCACGGGAATGCACTAGTTGTATTCCATGCAGCACACTCAGCACATACAAAACCACCAGGTGTTGTCCTAGACACACCAATAACATATACACCAATAAAAGATGGTCCCTGTCGCTGGGAATGGTTTGATATCGAGTGAGAGTGCCGACCCTTTGAGGTACATAAAGGGCAATGATCCAGTTCTGGAGAGCCCACCACCTCAGAGAGTGAATTCACAATACTAAGTTTGTTCAAGTGATACTGGAATTCACACAAACCGGACAAACCGCACATTCCAGGCTATGATGGACAGTAACCCAGAGACTGGGCTTCCAAAGGACACTCATCCCAATGGGCGAAAGAGATGGTGAAGTGAAAGAAAGCAAAAGTTGGGATGCTGAGCTGGTGCCTTGGTGACTGTAGCCCCACCCACCTTAATAATACCATCACAAGTTAGCTGATGATACCACGAAGGAAAGATTGTCTGGTGCACCAACAACAACCTCTGTTTGAACACTTCCAATTCGAAGGACAGAGACAAGATGGACTTTAGAATGTCTCCATTCTAATGCCTCGAATGGAAACACCGTCCATCCAAATGGAAATGACAAGGTAAATGACAACTTTTGTTAAAGGTCAATTCTGTTTTGAAGCATGAATTATAAAGCTGCGTATTTGTTTCCCAAAATGATATAAACAGCATAATTTGTAAGAAATGTTCTCCAATTTTCTGTATGGTAGGTCTTTTCTTGGAAATTTCACAAGGCGAAGAGGAAAAAGATTTTCTCAAACAAACCAGAGGATAAAATATGACCTGCCCCTTGGATGGAGCCATGAAAGGCCAGAAGCGCCTTGCAGAGCACCGTGGAGCCTATGTTTGAAGAAGGCAACAGGCTGATGGACCAGCTGATGCCAACAGCTGGTCCATCAGGATGTAGACATTGTTGTTTCAATGACAGGTCAAAACATTAAACAGTTTTGACCTGTCTCTGTTGCAAAAATGTAGAGAAAGTGTAAATTTACAGGAATTTGGAAATGTTTTCAGTCCGTTTGAAAATAAAATACAAAAAGGTCAAAGCAACAAGGTGCGGTTCCTTCCAGTTTCCCTCTGTAACGCTGGGGCCAGATCCAGGCACAATGCCAACGAAGTGGCCCTGGGTGATCTGCAGCGGCTGATAAGCCGCACATCATCATGTGCCAACAGGTCTCTGAACAAATGCTCCCTCCGAATCCTGCTGTTGGCGATGTCGTCCAGCCGGGCCAAAGCTAAGATCGTTTCAGTTACACACACATTTGTGCAGCTTTTTATGTACATGTGTGAATGTCTACGCCTTGTCTGTCCACTTTAAGAATCATCAAACCTGATCTGTTTGGAGAAAAGGGCGGCTGATTCGACCACGTTTTCTTTCTCAAGTGAGAACGAAAGAGACCCTTCTCAAACATTTTCAGTTCTTGAGCGTATTTACACCTACCTCTGAGAAAAACAGAGGAAATTCACTTTTTACAGCCAATGGCGGTTTTCTCGTTATTTTATTTGATTATTTTACCTATATTTCACGCTATGTTCGTTTTCATACATCCCAACTTGTGCATTAAATGTAGAACATTTTTTGTGCGTATCCAAGCTTTAGACATGAGGCCCCAGCTCTTTCTGGAACATCACATTTCTCCTCTATAAATCCCTTAACAGAATGCAGAGCTAGGTCCAACCTGGCAGTTTGCACAGTTGGATGGTTGCCAAGGAGATTTAAGGATTTCTCAAACATGCATAAAATAATCACAGCGACACTCCAGGTATGTTTTTTTTTTTCAAAAAAAGTTTATTTTACATCGTACTGTCCTGTTAAAATTGAAGGGTACAAACTAAACTGGAACTGAGCAATAAGCAGTTTCATGATAAACATGTATAAAGAGCCTTAAAAATCCTTAAGAATGATTGACCAAGAGTCCTTTGCAAAGGGCTATCATCTTAGTAAAGTATGTTGGCTGCTGGTGCTCTCAAGGGCCATCAAATGTTTGTCCAACAACATCAAATGGAGCTCTTTCTCTAATCACAGAACCATACTGGATGCACCAACGCTGCAGCTTTCCAGATGCATGGGGATGAACAGCCTCCAGCCCCCCTGTAGTGCTAAGGCTAATGTGGTTTCCCTTCAGGGAGCCATGGAAATATGATTCTACTGTGTATCCGTGCTGTGTTATGTGGGCTTTAATAAACCGGATGAGAGGCTGTGCTACCAACAGGTGTTTGTCATTACTGGAAGCTGCAAAACTGTCGTGTCCAGGGCATCTGTGATTTACAGTTCAGCTAAATTGACCAACAGGCACACAAAGCAGATGCCTGTGAGCCATGAGTATTTTCTTCTTCACACTTGCTTTAAGATCGATGGAAACATTTGTTTGGTTCAATCTGCCTCCTGGTGACAAAGCTCGGCACAAAATATGTACTTACAAAATGAGCTAAGTCATCTTACTTTGGAAAGCAGTGTTTAAACATTGAGTATGGAGTCTGTCTCAAACTCAGTGCGCTGTAACAGAGGATTCCAATCTCTGTTGAGATATTGTGTTGTTTTAGAAGAACGGTTTACTGAGGGGAAAACAAAGGAAAGATATTCTCAGATATTTCACTTCCACGTTGATAAATCCAGTATTCTGCGAAGAGGTGTTCAGATCATGAAACAAAATATGTTTTGATATGTTGAAAAAAATTACAGCATTTAAATATTCAACAAGCTGAAATAAACATTAAAAGATCGACTGTTTGAACTATCTTGGTGGGAATCTTTAACTAACTCAAAATTGGATTCTGATTTTTGGGGTCATGATTCGCTTCAAAAATCAATTTTTGAGTCAAAACATTTATTCATAATGATTTCAACTTTAATGTATCAGTGCTTAAAGTATCCTCATTATGTATTCCAGTCTGCTGGCATTTATAACATGTTGAATGTTAAAATATGTTTAATTACTCCTTCCCTTTGTTTCCTCAAAGTGTGGTGAAGAGAAGGCTACACATTTCTACAGACTTTTTACAATTTTCATCCTGTGGTTTTCAGCCATTTGACAACCTTTGTAGTTCTGTATCAAAAAATTCTTAAAAAATATATGAAAATCCTCACCACATTGGAAAAGCATTCCATATTCATGTTGTCTGTGGATACGAAAACCGGACAGTGGAAGTGAACTAGTTGAACCGAAATATCAACATTGCTGTCGAGCATATTTCTGCATAAAACACCTTCTGACCAATCAGACATAAAACCATATGGAGCTCTGCACGGGTTAGGGCAGAGCAGACTTTCACTCAGCTTTATTGGCTTCATTCATTTATGATGTTCCTGAAGCGCTCCATCTTCAATTTGCAAAACTCACACAGAGTGAAAAAAGGAAAAGTAAAAAAACAAGTACAAATGTTTGTACAAAGGCAGGGCTAGTGAAATTGATTTTGGGATTTTCATTTTAGAATTTATTTCAATATTAGTGGCCTTTATTTGAAAGTAATCCAACAAGTAGGGGGCAGAGAGAAAGGACAAAAACATGCAGCAGAGGACGGGAGTTGAACTCAGGACACCTGGGTTGAGGTCCTTTTTGTATGGGGCGTCTGCTCAAACCACTACGCTGATTATAAAATGACATCAACTAACTAAAACCAATATTTGGCAACCAGCAGTCAGATTTTTGACAAGCTTTACAGGAGCGTATGCGTTGTTTTCACATCCATCATGGCGAACCAGGCTGCTTTCCGAAGAGCGTGACGTC